TATCAGCAACTAATTTTTTAATTAAACTGATGCAAAATGCAGCGGCGGCAGTTATGTGTGCCACTAAGGGGACACGTGTTACATCTCTACTTCATGACCTGCATTGTCTGCCCGTTTGCTTCCAAATCAAGATGCTGATTTTGACCTGGCGTGAGGCCAGGTTGAGGGACTGCCTCTTCCCAATTATATCTACCCATTCCAACGGGTCCATCAGGAGAGGCATGCTATGGGTCCTGTCGTGCAGAAGAATTCCATCTGATGGGAGCTAGGAGGCAAACTTTTTAATTTTGGCTTTGTCCACCCATCCTCTGCAATATCATCCCTCTTGAGGGGACATTAGCCTTATGGCTTTCTGTGGCCCCCAATCTTTGTGGCTTGGTAGCCCGGCTGGGGTGTGGGGGGGAAATAGGGGAACCGCACAAGTAGCAGGCCAGCACATGCACGCATGCAGTTTTACTTGCACAAGCCGCAGGCCGACGCACATGAATGCATAGCTTAACTGCCAATCCGCCACTCGCGCAAATGGAGCTGTGCGTACACACGTGCCAGCCTGCCACTCGTGTGGCCCAGTTCCAAATAGGCTAGCGCAGTAATGGGATACGGCCCAGGGGTTGGGGACCCCTGCCTTGGAGCTCATGCGTGGCTGCGTTATGTGTGATACTCTCCCGCTTGCGTTTTTATCTGTGTTTACTGTTTTAATTGGTTTCACAGTATGTTATATTGTACGTTGCCCAGAGTCACTTTGTATGAAAAGGCAGTCAAACAAATTTGACACATATATAGTTTCTACTGTTAACATCAAGCATGATGCCTCAGGTTTTTTATGTTGACCGTTCTTCTATAGTCTGTTGAGTAGGCGATTCAAAGATTAAATAAAAAGCACCAGCATGCCAAGCTCATTGGATACATGGGGTACAATCCAGGGCACACAGCTCTTCCCCAGAATCTGCTACTGGATGCCCTTATCTCGGTCTGGGGTTGAGATGCCACTTAAATCATGCAGTATTGCCCTTGGGCAGGCCTACCTCTCCACTATTATATACCCTTTTTTAGTGCTGATTGGCTTAGATGCATGATCCAAGGCAATATGAGCATCTTCCTGTCACTAAATAAATCAATCTGGGCCTTAGTGTAAAAGATCTAACCTCCTAAGGCAAAAATAAGCAACTTTTCAGCCTAAACTTAGCTTAAAAAGGGAAACTGGTTTTTGGGTGTGTTCACATGACATACCTTATCCTGTCTAGCACCACCAGTGAATAACTTGTTTATCTTGTGGCAGACAGCCAAAGAAATCAAGGCTGGGTTCAGATAACATCCTAGGCCTTGATTAACAAGATAAAATTGCTGTGTTCACATGCCTTGTTCAAACAATACACTCTGAGCAAATTGTAGTTTAATATGGTGGCTTGGTTCATATAACCGGCTGAAGTGATCTTAGCTCCATTAGTTTAATGTGCTGTATGAACCGAGGCCATGGGGAGGCAGGGAGATAGAAAAAGACAAAACATTACCAGCATAATTATTTTTCAGGCTGTTCAAGATGCCAGTTTCCATACTGTAATTTCAAATAATCGTCTCTTCCGGGTCCAGCCGATGAGGAATGTTAAGCCTCGAATACAGAGTGGAATTTTGGCCTTGTAACCAGGAAAGATCTGGATTTGCAGGATTATACAGTCTGTTGAGACCACTATTGATCTGGTTAAATACATATGGCAAATGCAATTATTACTGCCGTGAATAAAGTTCACACCTTGAGAATCCACTGTGATCGCTTTGCCTAAGTGCACCACACATCTATTCGGTAGCCTTCAAGACAATATGCCATCCGTCAAGTCTTAACAGGCATTTTTTTTAAAAAACCAGTTCTAATATTTGCAGTTGTGCAACAGTAACTTCTGGAAGCTCTCACACATTCCACGTTATTTATGCCGCACTTTGCTGAATTTGGGTAAGGGCTAAAGATGGAAGGCTCCAGCAAAAGCATTCTGCAAGTGTAGTGAGAAATATGTTCAGAGGGCACATTGTGACCTGATTTACCCATCAATCTGATGGGTAGCCTTCAATTTCCTTTGCCAGGCATTACCTACTGCTCAGCTGTATCTAGTGCAATCCCATACAATGGGTGAAATGTCACCTCTGTTAGCAATCACCAAATAGTAACAGCTACAGCTACAATGTTTATATCTATCTATATAAATAAAAATGTAAATGTTCGTTTGTTCAAAATCTTAAATCTCCGAAGGTTCTTCACCGATTGCTTTGAAATTTTGACACAACGTTGCATTCGAATACGTGCGTGTTTTTATATACCTACTATTATATAGATGTCACATCTGTGACAGGTAAAAACATGCTTTTTTTGAAAAACAGCACCATCTGTACCCACAAGCATTGTGAAATTAAACATATTAAAAACGTGCGCTTTCTCTTTTCTTTCTTTTCCATTTAACCAGACCGAGCCACAGCAACGCGTGGCCGGGTACAGCTAGTCACTAATATAAAGGGAGATTGCTTGAGTAGTGCTGTTCCTATGCACCATGGGTCCCCGGGCCTGTGGATCAGTACCAGGGTGCGGCATGCCAGCAACCGGTCTGCACAAACAAGCAAAGCCCCATCTGCGGGATGCAGGCAGCACACAAAACCACACACCCTCCAGTCCGCAGAAAAACCCCTCTCCACGGAACCCGTCCCCGGTGCCCAAAAGGTTGGGGACCTCTGCTATGCACCACCCTGATGTTAAGGGGGCAGGATTAAGTTCAACCACTTGCAGGAAGAGGCGGTGAAACAATGGGGAGAGAAGGACTAGTTTGTAACAACAATCATCACAGTTCTACTTGTGTGTGCATGGAGGTGAGCTGTACTGATCTAAGTGGGATTCCCTCTCACATAAACATCAGATTCCACAAACGCTCGTAGCATTGGCCAGTAAGAAAATACGAAGTATGAATGGGTTACTAAACAAATCTTAAGATTGGAGTAAATGTTAACTGATTTATCCTCACTCTTTACATTCTTCTAACTGGCAGCTTATTTGCACTTTCCTGAACCCCAGTTGATGCTCTGGAACACAAAAGGCAAAGCAAAGAGAATATGCCACTTCCTTTCCCAGCTTCGCCCGGCCTTAAATAGCCGAGGCAATTTGTTTCTTTACTTTGTAGCTACATAAACTTAATAAATTGCATGCCTACCAGCAGGACTCAGCTCTTACAAGTCACTCCAGACCATCAGGGGGTTTATGATTCAGCCATAAACATCATGCCTTTATTTCAAGAGGCTCTTAACCTACTTGCAGCTTTTTTTTTGTCTTCCCTGTTGGTCTGCAATATGGGCTCCTGCCAGTAATGTGTGTCATTGTGTGGCAAAATACTTTTGACTTCAGTGGCAGGGTTAAGAGAGACTGCCTAACAAACATTGCTATTGGAGGAAAGAAAAAAGGGAATCATCCTCTTCTTCAAGAGCTTCAGGCTCCATATTACTCAAAAAAGGCCAGGGTAGTGGGCCAAGTCACAGAACCATGGCGTGTTTTGAAGGACAAGTGCGAAGGCAGCAAAAAAAAACAACCCAGCCGTATCCAAATGGGATACTTGTGCAGCTCTCGATGGTGCTATTCCTGTAAGCAACAGATGGTCTGGCCTTCAAAATGATCTGATTGCAAGTTGATGCCAATTGATCAATGCCCCGGTGTGCCTGGGGCTCTGACTAATCCATCACCAATCACTGATGCTGCTTTATAGTTAAAAGCTATTCAAGTGGAGCTTGGATTTAGAGGCGTCGTTCTCTTATTTCCTGAACCACTTGTACAGCAAATTGCACAGATTTCACCATCTGCACACAACTATTTCATCAGCATGCCACTATAGGAGTGCAAGGCATCAATCACAAAATGCATAGCCCAGTGGTGGTGAACCTATGGCACGGGTGCCAGAGGCGGCACTCAGAGCCCTCTCTGTGGGCACGCGCGCCGTCGCCCCAGTCCTAGGCCTTCAGCTGGGTTTTATAAAACCTTTTTGCTTTAGGCCTCCGCCGCCGTGTGCAAAAAAAAAAAAAAAAGGTTCAATCAGTCAATTTCAACTTCTTGTGGGGAAAAAAAAAGATCTTGCAAAGTTGAAATTGATTGATTGAACTTTTTATTTATTTATTTATTTATTTATTGGATTTTTACCCCGCCCTTCTCCTTGCGGACTCAGGGCGGCTAACAGGCTGATAAAAACAAATACAAAAAATACCAAAATACTATCATTAAAACATAATTAAAAAGAAATATTAGATTGGCCTTTGTTATATTAAAATTATATTTAAAACCCCGCTAAAAATTACCCCTTAGGCCAGTCCTGCTAGTTGAAATAGCCATGTCTTAAGGGCGCGGCGGAAGGAAGGGAGATCCGGGATCACCCGGATCTCTGGGGGTAGTTCGTTCCAGAGGGTGGGAGCTCCCACCGAGAAGGCCCTCCCCAGTCTGCCGTTACCACCACAGCCACACCCACCCAATGGGCCACGCCCACCCAATGGGCCACACCCACCCGGCACTCGTGGGTTTTGGGTTGCAGTTTGGGCACTCAGTCTCTAAAAGGTTCACCATCAGTGGCATAGCCTGTATTGACAGTAATAGCTGGGGGAGTTAACAAACACAAAAATTCCCTTACATTTTCTACAAACGTGGAAAAAAATGGCAAGTATTCAATTTCAGATTGCCCGGTACTTAAAAGCTACAAGAGCTCTGCCAGAGAGAAAACCTTGTAACTATGACAGAACGTATCACGCTAGCTGCTACTTGATCAATATCACTCATTTCTTAAAAGCTAATCTAAACTATGCAATTCAGGTTTTCCTGAAATTTCTCCAGTTATTCCTAGTGTCAGTCACATAAATCTAGAATTATCACTCTTGGGGGCCTATGTAAAAATTAGTACTGGCAAAGAAAGGAGTTATTGGACCAGCATTGAAAAAGCCCAGAACATGATGTTATCACGTTAACAAAGATATAGAAAAAGACACAGATCTGCTATATAATCTTGGCTTTTTCTTGTTCTTAATATTTTGAGAACAAAGACGCAAACATTAAAAAGCTGTTTTAAGATGGGAAAACCTAGACCTTCATGTTGCTGAACATTTTTCCACAATGACTACTACTGCAATTTTAATTCAGCTATTAAGGGAAATGCCTGAACAGGATTAGCATTGCTTTGAAAATCCAGTTTTTCAAAGCCATTTGGAAACTTGACACAAAGGACATCATAAAAGCAAGACACAGCCCACTTGTGGAAGTTAAAAATAAGATACAGACACCACCAATTACAATACACACTAGCTAAACAGAGAAGTTACAGCCTTCTAAACAGGAACAACCAGCTTTTGCCTCTATTGAAGAGAAGTCCTAGCAGGTTAAGTCGGATGAAGCTCTCAAAGAGTGCAACACTTTTTGTTCCTTTTCACATCACAGAAAGAAAAAAAAGTGTGATATATACTCTTGGCACAAGCTATCCAAATGGTGTGAGAATTTATACTAGAGTAACCAGCACTTTCTCACTTGGGGAAGATGGGGGTTGACCACACTTGGCTGGGGTTAATGGATTATGTGAATATATATCTGAAGGGCATCAGGAGGGCAAGGCAACCCTGGATGACCCTTGCAGTTTCCCCTTAACTGAAAATGCCTAAGCATTACTTGCACAGAGAGAGCAGCCTGCTTATAAATGGTGAAGAACAAGGGGGTCAGACCCTCACACAGACCCACTCGAGAGTCCACTAGAAATCTGGATCAGGAGAACTATCACTTCCTTCTGTCTAGAAGGAAGCTCCTCTTACAAAGGAGAGCTGTCGCTTGGGGCTTCTGTTCTGCTCCGGTGGTTTCTTGAGTCGTTGGCAGGAGGAGGAGATGGCTTAGGCTCTCCAGGGATCCCACAGACAGCCAAATTGCACAACATCTCAGTTCAGCAGTTTTAGCTGCCCAGTCACCTGATTCACCAGCTCTTCTTCTCCCATGATGGCAAGGACTGTCTGCGACCCAGCTGGGACCTAAGAAAAGGACATTTATTTCTCATTAAGGATACATGCAATATGAATGAGAGTTCGGAATAGATGTAGCTTCTCTTCGTGCTCCCTGAGCTTGGCTGTTTTTTTGTAGACGTTTCATTATCCAAACTAGAATTATCCAAACTAGATAAGATCATCAGTGCTGAATGTTGATTAATGAAAGGTCTGCAAGAAAACAACCAAGTTCAGAGAGCACCAAGGACTCCTCAGTTACAAACATTCCCCCCTTTGTCGGCTTCTCTTAGCATACTATGCTCTAGCTCAGCTTTCTAGATCAGGGCTTTTCAATCAGTGGTACGGGTACCACCTGTGGTACATTGGCACCTGGCAGGTGGTACGCGACCATCCTAAAAAGTGGTAGCGGGGGAGGGGAATGAGCTGAACCGGTGGCAGCACCGCACAGGCCTGAGCGAGAGATGGGTGGAGCTGCAGGGCTGTCAGGACTCAGCGGAAGCACCAGGATCAGTGCCGCTTTCCAGCTAATCGGCACTTCTTCAGGACTGTCAGGGCTCAGTGGAAGCATCAGGATCAGCGCCAGGCTCCAGCTGGAGCTCAGCACTGATCCTGGTGCTTCTGCTGAGCCCAGAAGAAGCACCGATCAGCTGGAATGTTGCAGCATCTCCAGGGTCTTGTGATTTACATTCAGATGCTTGGCAACTGATTCATATTTATGACGGTCACAGTGTCCCAGGGTCATGTGAAGTGACCAAAACCTGCTGCAACCACCCAGCAGAAGGGGGGAATAAAAACCAAACACCCCCCACCCCACCCCTGCTGCCAATCCTCAACAGAAATGCTCACAACAATGAAAACCTCGGACAGGAGGAAGAGCGCCGCCGGGTGGGCAGGCAGGTGACTTGCTCGGTTGTGCCTTGGGGGGCACTTTTTTTCAGTGCCATTGTAACTTGGAACAGTCATGAAGCAAACTGTTGTAAGTCGAGGATTACCTGTACTTTATCACTTTTTTCCTTTTGGGGGGGGGTCATCAAGTTTTTGACACCTTGCTAGGTGACTGGTGGTACTCGGATGTTGCCATATCCTAAAAGTAGTACAATGGGTGAAAAGGTTGAAAAGCCCCGTTCTAGATGCTGTGAAAACCTACTCTGGTTTCCCCAGTGGTCGTTAACTATGACTTGGCTGAATGTCTATGGAGATTCTCAAATCATCCATGTCATGTGTCAACGGTGCTAACATTGGATGTTCTTGCTTTGACCACATATGGAGATGTAGCCTTTTTCTTTCTTATGCTTTACTCTTAGAATTGGATGATACTGGGGGGGGGGGGGAGGAGGAGGAATGTGACAGGAGTTTGTTAGACATAACAGTATTGTAATAGTGGGTGAAATCAGGGCTTTTGAAATAAGAGATGATAAGAAACGGTGGGTTGGAGCAAAGGAGGGAAAGCCTGCATTTCAAACTAATTGGAGAATGTGATTTATGACAGTTAATCAGAGGAGGGAATTGTGTTTTGATACTATGTGCTCAGGGGAGGGGAATCCAGATTTTGGCTTAGCTTATGTACGTGCCGATGCTATGCTGCTCAAATAAAGATTCTTTAAGGTAAACAATGTCTCAAAGTTCTTTGAAGAGTTTCATCTGTCAGAACCATGACATCATGATGGTCCCAAAGGTGTTTTTTTTCCAAAAGTCCAGCTGGACCAGAAGTGAAATGTTTTCAAAGAAAAACAAACCAAGGAAGTCCAGTTGCCTTTTGGAAAAAGCATTTTTGGGATGAGACTTGGCTGATTTACACTGGTACGTAAATGAATTTGGGGGGATGTAATGCAATTCTTAACTGAAATATCCCTGTAAAAGGGGATACTGGAGGCCAACAGTGGAAAATCATTTTAATGTTATTCAGTACTTCAGTTACAAATGCTGATGAACGTGGATAAATTTGGGGAGAGAAAGGAATGGGAAAAACACCCAAATCAGTTTCTTCAGCACCGTGGCTTACTCATATATCCTCAAGAAGTCAATGCTATTTCAAAATCCAGCTCCATTTAAGTATTTGTTTTACTTTGTCATTTTTGGGGAGGGCAAAATAACAGAATGACAGAGTTGGAAGGGACCTTGGAGATCTTCTAGTCCAACCCCCTGGCTCAGGCAGGAAACCCTATACCAGGGGTAGTCAACCTTGGCTCGTTTATGACTCGTGGACTTCAACTCCCAGAATTCCTGAGCCAGCTAAGCTAAGCTGGCTCAGGAATTCTGGGAGTTGAAGTCCAGGAGTCATAAAAGAGCCAAGGTTGACTACCCCTGCCCTATACATTTCAGAGAAATGGTTGTCCACTTTCTTAAAAACCTCCAGTGTTGGAGCACCCACACCTTCTGAAGGCAAGTCGTTCCACCCGCTGATTGTTCTAACTGTTAGGGACATAGGATGTCAAGGCTGGAGACAGACAACTGATGTTAGATTTGGTGTCAGGCCCCCAAACCAAGAAAGACACGTGACGATTCTTCCAAGCTGAATTCTTCATTGTTCCACACCTCAAGACAGAATCTTGCCAAACTGAAGCACTGTACTATCTGCATCTATAAAATATTCTGAGAGCTATTAGGGAGGGACTGCCTTCCCAACACAAAATATCTGGACTGCAGCTGTCACTCATTCCTCTGGAATGCTCTCCTTCCCTCCTGGGAATCCAGTCTACTGTATTACATCACATTTGGTTTTCGGTATCAACTAGTAGAAAGTTGCTTTCAAATGTACAAATAAGAGCTGAACTATTGTGTTTTTCATTCTTGTTCAACCATGGCAATAAAATGTTGCGGTCTAAAGTAATTATACTAGAAAGCAATAAAGAACTACATTTTTTAAAAAAACTGAAATATAACTAATAATCAAGTGCCAGGTTTTTGTTTCTAACTTTGGGCAGTTGACAAGACTTGTATAAAGCCAGAGTTGTGTTTTTTTAAGATAGAGAAGTCTTTTAGATAAATA